GTGAAGTAATGCAAATCATATTTCCGTATTAGTTAGAAAAACAAAAGTAAAATGAAAAAAAGTTTTTAAAACGTGCTTCAATTTATACTGAGTTGAATCAGTTCTCTTTCTCAAGGTAGATACCACTTTTCTTCATGGGCCCTTTGGAATTGTCTTGGATCATCATATTGCTCGAAGTAGCTAAGTCTTTCACAGTCGATCATTCTTACAACATTACTGTTACTATGTACCCGTGTGGTTCTGCTCACTTCACATTACATCAGTTTATCTAAGTCTTCCCAGGTTTTTCCGAAGCCATCCCCCTCCTAATTTCTGGTAGCACAGTAGTATTCCATCACAATCACATGTCACAACTTGTTCAGTCATTTCCCAATTGACGGACATCCCTTTGATTTTTTATTCTTTTCCATCCCAAAAAGAATTGCAATAAATATTTTTGCACATACAGTTGGCTTTTATTTTCCTTTGACCTCTTTGAGATCACTTAATAGTGATATTGCTTAGTCAAAGGGCACATACAGTTTTATAGTCCTTTGGGCATAGTTCCAGATTGTTTTCCACAATGGCTGTCCCATTCACAACTCCACCAGCTATGCATTAGTGTACCTACTTTTCCACTGCCCCTCCAGCAATTGTCACTTTCCTTTTGTGTGATGTTAGCCCATGCAATGGAAGTGAGGTTGGTACCTCAGAGTTATTTTCATTTAAATTTCTCTAATCAATAATGGTTTAGAGCATTTTTTCATATGACTCTTGATAACCTTGATTTCTTTTTCTAAAAACTGTTTGTTCATATCCTTGACCATCTTATCAACTGGGGAATGGTTCTTATTTCTATAAACTTGATTTGGTTCTCATATATTTGAGAAATCAGGCCTTTATCAGAGAAACTTGCTCTAAAATTGCTTTCCCAGTTTCTTGCTTTTCTTCTAATTTTGGCTGCATTGGTTTTGTTTGTGCAAGAACTTTCATTTTATGTCATCAGAATTATCTCTTACTTGGTCATAAACTTTTTCCTTTATCCATACATCTAACAAGTAAAACTTTCTACACTTCCCTAATTTGCTTATGATATCACTCTTTATGTCTGAGTCTAGCATTCTTTCCACTGCATCATTCAATTGTGTTGTACATAATCAGTTGTGCAAGAAGAAATTTGGGAACAATATGTTTGTTAGATGCTTAACATTACTTGTTGAAGTCAGGATATCAATAAGTTGATCTCAAATATTGGTTATATTTATGAATTCTGGGGGCTATGCAATATAATGATATTAAGTGGATGCATGAAAGTGCCCATCATTGTCATATCTGTACTTCAAGTTTAGTGGAATTCACAAAAAAATAGCTTAAAGTGAATTTATATAACCATGCTTAATTGTAGTCTTTTGTGAGGGTGGGGGAAGAAAGAAAAGGAGAATAAAGTAAAAAACGTATAGCAGAGGATAACAGAAAACATACAAGGATGTGAAGAAAAGATGGACAGCTTTGAAAATACTGTGTGGTTTTCGTTATATAGGTGTTCTGGAAATGGAAATTTGTGGCTTTATATTGAATCCTCTCTTATGTTCTGCTATATGCATGTGAATGTTTTCTTTTCTTTTCTTATTTTGCATTTAAGCTTAAATAAATTTCAAAACAAAAAAAAGAATATTGACAGAGATTATTTTTTGAAACTAAGAATTTAAATCTGATGACATGAAAGTTCTTGTACAAACAAAACCAATGCAGCCAAAATTAGAAGAAAAGCACCAAAACCAAATCAAAATGATTGCATCCATTGTGTTCCAATATGTCTCACATCCTTCCCACCAATAATCATTTTTTGAATTGATCTAGGGCAAATTAATAGAGTTCCACAATATGACAATGCATTACATTTTTGTAGTTCAGTGTTGAATAACCAGTGTTGTATAGATCTCAGCTTGAAACTTTTAGGTTAGTTTCACCACATTATCCCTTTTATGATTGAATAAATGAGAAGCATAATGGTACAGTGGATAAAGGGTTGGCCTTGATGTCAGGAAGACCTGGTTTGAAGTTCTGTCAATGACACTTAATGAGTGACTATAGCCAAATGCCTTTCAGTTCTCCATTAGTTTCTCTAAGGTAAGCTGGAAGGAAGAGGGAAAAGTGTTTCAGATCCAGACCTTCTCTTATACTAATAAAACTGTAGGTCTAGACAAAAAAAAATGTACTGAATCTTAAGGATAGGGTTTATAGTAATAGTAAGAGGTTAAATTATTTACCCGCCAGCACACAGCCAATATGTCAGAGGCAGGACTAGAATCTAGGTCTTCCTCACTTTTAAGCCAGCTCTTTATCTACTTCAGACATGCTACTTGGTCTTTTTTTTTTTAAGCAAGTAAGTAAAATGAAAGAAATTATTTTAAATGTTGGTTGTTCTTCAGTGCTCTCTCTCTCTCTCTCTCTCTCTCTCTCTCTCTCTCTCTCTCTCTCTCTCTCTCAGAAAGCATAATTTTAAAGGGAACAAACATGGATGCTACAGGGATCATTGTGGTGACAGGCAAGTTGGTCCAATATTGATTCCTTTCCCAACTCCCAGAGAATAGATTAACAGTTGGGTTATATATGAGGATCAATGTTATTTGAGAAACTCTGCTTAACTCTTTTCAGGATCACTCAGGGCCATATGGTGCCCTGTTTTGTATTCTAAAATTATAGAAAGGTGAACAGAAGGAAATGGCAATGATATAAATACTTCAGAATCTGGTAGCAAACCACCTCCCCTAGCCAGGCATTTGAAATAAGGGCTGTCTTGGTTAAAAAAACAACAACAAACAAATAAACCAAACAAAACAAAAAACTTAGATCAAAATCAAAAAGGCTTAAATACTTCAGATAAGTAGGAAAATTCTAATAGCTGCAGACAAGTTGTGACTTGCTGGGAAGCCCAGAATAAAAAAGAGGGTAGTCTTGTGAATGGGGTGAAACAGCCTTAAACAAGGACACCTGAACCATTGAGACAGTAGAATAGAGTTTAATAATAGTAATAAATTTGATTTCTTTTACCTGAAAGACAAACAGTAGGGAAATTTTTGGTAAAGATGGTAAATTACCTTTCAGCTTTAGGCAAGGAACAATTAAGATGGTTGTGCATAGTTGCAGTGTGGTTTTACTGAACTGAGTTCTGGGTTTGATGTCAGGAGGATCTAGATTTCAATTCCACCTCTAGCATCACAGATAAATTCATTTAGCTTCTCTGAGCTTTTTTTTTACCTTATTTGAAAGATTGAGATTGACCTCACAGAGGTTTTGTAAGTCTCAAATGACAATGCATGTTTGTGAAACTTCAAGTAGTTTATAAATGTGAGTTATATTATGATACATCACACACCAGCTGCATGGTCAAAGGCAAATCATTTAACCTTTCAGAGTCTTTAGGAAACTCTCTAAGACCCTAAGTTTCTCTCTCTTCCTTTTTTTTAGGTAATTGGGGGTTCAGTGACTTGCCCAGGGTCACACAGCTAGTAAGTGTCAAGTGTTTGGTCTGAGGCCAGAATTTGAACTCGGGTCCTCCTGACTTCAGGGCCAGTGCTCTATCCATTGTGCCACCTAGCCCCTCTAAAACTCTAAGTCACTGAGGAATTGCTGATCAGATTCAGTTCAGGGAATTTCCACACTAGTGGTATCCTAGGACCAAAAGAAAGAGAGGGGAAGAGAAAGACATACAGACGTAGAGGTGAGAAACACATAGAGATCATGTATTTCATGTTTAAATTGTATCTTACCTGTGTTTGTTGTTTTATAGAGTCTTCAGAAGATTTTCCCTTGGGTTTACTCTAACTTTATTACATTCAAGTATATAGAGAGTAATTTCACATTCTCAAAGTACTGAATCATTCTTTTTTTTTCCTTTTAAGTTCCTGTCTTTAGCATGACATTTATGTATCTGTCTATTTTTCTGTCTGCCTGTCTTCTATTAACAGGGATGTTTAAAACGTGTTTTGATTGTAATAGTATTAACACAAACTTCATTGGTAATTTTTAAAAAATGGCAGAATGGGGAATGAAACCTTTGGAACATCCCTTAAACAACAACTTAAAGAAAATATAGTATGTTGGGTTGTTTGTTGCAAAATATTTACATATGAAGAAGGGAAATGTTTTTCCTGTAAGATTTACAAGTGGCCAGGGCTAGGTTGGGGCTGAGAGACACTCATTTGCATGGTAACTTTGGATTTAATTTGTTTACTGCCAAGGGTTCTTATAGGAGGAGACAATGGTGATGTGTTTAATATTGATGAGTTTAACCTCTTGGGAGGTATAGCATATGAACTCTCCTTGAATACAAATGTTGCTTGATTTATATGGTAAACACATGGAATTTTGAAGATTAACATTTTAATTAACACCTTGCCTCATGAATCATTCACTTTCCTTATTCCCCACCCCGGTTGTAAATCCCCCATCAGAAAATCAATTTTTGAAAATAAGCATTTTTGTCATGGCAAATAGAGATTGCAGCAACCATGAAGAAAATAGAGTCTAACGGATAGTCTCTTCTTAGCCATATGTTCAACTAGATGCTCAGTTATTAAACACACTATATTCATTCATTCAAAAAAATATTGATGTTCATGTCTCTAAAGGCAGCAGATCTAGCCTTGAGGTGGAGAGAAACTAAGTGACAGTAACATTATGGTGCATACAAAATTCAGAGTTTGTCTTTCCTCCTCATTCTTCCTCTAAATTTTTTGTCTTTAACTTTTCCTTTTTTCTTTTTTTTCTGAAAGGTCTCTGGACTTTGAAGTTCTGAGATTGGATATTCCGGTTGACAAGCTCTTAGGGCAGAGACAATGAACCCGATTCATAAGTTAGAGGTGAAAGTCCCTGGGAGGCACACAACCTTTCTTGAGCTTCCTTTCCTAGCGGGGCAAAAGAGAGGAAGAGGGGGCGGTGGCAACCCTCCCAGAGAGCAGCCTAAGCAGCAGCTGCGTCAGGAGCAGCCATTGGAAGGAGCTGTCTGCGGCGGGGAGTGCTGCACTGAGCATGTTCGAGCCCATCCTAGTCCAAGCTGCAGCAGCAGCAGCAGCAGCAGCAGCCACAGCAGCAGGAGCCGCCTCTCATTATGCAAAGCAGCGGCTCCGGCAGATGGAAGAGGGGCCAAACAAGAGCGCGTTTCCTTTCCTGCTGGGCAGTTTGCACATTGGCCTGGCTTCCCCAGGAGTCTCCTCCAGACCAAGCCGGGGAATGAAAACCTCTGGGATGGCCTGACTGCGGGCTGGGCGGCATTGCAGCGGGATTGCAACATGGGAAACCAGGATGGCAAATTGAAGAGGAGCGCAGGTGATGCCTCCCTTGAAGGAGGGGGAGGTGGTGGCTGTGGCGGGGAGGATGCTGTTGGGCCCAGGGATACTGAAAGCACCAAGAAGGGGAGCGGGGGCAAGAAGGCGCTGGGCAAACATGGAAAGGGGGGAGGGGGAGGTGGCAGTGTTGAGTCTGGCAAGAAGAAGAGCAAGTCGGACTCGAAATCCTCGGTTTTTTACAACCTGCGGATCAGGAAGAACCTATCTAAGGGAAAGGGGGGCGTAGGTTCTCGGGAAGATGTGTTGGACTCCCAGGCCCTGCAAACAGGGGAGCTGGACAGCGCTCACTCCTTGGTCACCAAGACCCCTGATCTCAGCATGTCTGCTGATGAGGTGGGCCTGTCAGATACAGAGGGCACGGACCCCTTTGAAGTCACCCGTCCAAGTGCGGTAGGGCCTGCAGGGCTCGGGGTTCAATCTGCCATAGAAGGGGATTTGGAAACAGCCCCTGGGGTGCAAGATGGACAAAGGACCAGTTCAGGCTCAGATACGGATATTTATAGCTTTCATTCGGCCACAGAGCAGGAGGACTTGCTCTCAGACATTCAGCAGGCAATTCGACTCCAGCAGCAGCAACAGCAGCAGCACCAGGGCGGTGCGGTCAGCTCCGGGGACTCTTCAGCACCCCTGGGTTCTGTTCCTCTCCAACCGGGGGCCTTTCTTGGCCTGGACCACTTTCTACTGGGGCCCGTTAGTAGGGCTGGGGAAGCACCAGGGAGTCCAGACACGGAGCAAGCTTTATCTGCCCTCTCTGATCTCCCAGACAATTTCCCCTGAGCTTCCAGTGCAGGAGAAGCCACTGCCCCCTAGCGGCGTGGATTGGGAGGTCACTGCCCCGTGGCTACTCTGCCGCCAGCCACAGAGTCTCCTTCTTCCACTGCCTTTCCCTTCCCAGAGCCGGGGTTGGAGGAGACTGCAACTGTACCCTCTGTTGGGGGAGCAGGAGATACAGATGATGATGAGGAGGATGCATTTGAGGATGCTCCCCGGGGTTCTCCTGGGGAGGAGTGGGACAAGGGCACCCAGGAGACTCCCTCTGAGGTAGCAGAGGAGGTGAGTGAAGTACCAGGGGCATGCCCAACACCTCCCCAGACGGACAGCCCTGCCCCTAGTCCTCGTTGCTTCAAGCCTTACCCACTAATTAATCCTTGTTACATCAAGACCACCACTAGGCAACTTAGCTCACCCAACCACTCACCTTCACAGTCCCCCAGTCAGAGCCCCCGGTTTATGAGAAGGCTGGAGCCTTCTTTGAGCCGGAGTCAGAGGGCTACCTTGGCCTCAAATGCCACTCAGGTCAAGAAGCACAAGACAAGTGGCAGCAGCCTGGTCGGGGGACTCAGCCGTTCTGCTGACTGGACAGAAGAGGTGGAGAGAAGGGAGCCCAGGGTGGGTGGCTCAGCAGACCTACTTGAATGTGGGGCAGCCCAGGAAGGAACTGATGGAACCCCCCCAACTCTATCCAGAAAGTCCTCAGGAGTGCAGGCGGCCACTGATGGCTTCCAGAATGTATTTACAGGTGAGTTAGCCTCTCCTACCTTTTTCTCAGGCTTCCACTGTTTCTAGGACCCTAGTACTGTCATTCATATCACAATCCTCCTCTTACCTCACCTTTTAAAAAAAATCTGTACCAAATTTGTTGTGACTTTTTTTTTGGTTTGTTTATTTGTTTGTATGGGTTGTTTTATTTTTTTTTCCCCAATCCTTTACTTCCTGCTGCCTTCATTCCAACCAGTAGGTGAAGTCTTCATATGCCCTGTTTGGTCAACAAGAGCACATGATCTTGAAAATATTTGACAGACTACATATTTTCCTGACCTCTTGCCCTCATTCTCTCCTCTTCTAAGCACAACACTTTGATTAGCTGTGTTGTCCCTATTTATATTATGCCTTGTATCATATGCTTATTTCTGTATGTATATGTGTCTCTCCTTCCCCTTTGATTATAAGCTCCTTGAGGGTAAGTATTGTCAATTTTATTTTTCTATCTTCAAAAACTACTATAGTGACTTGTACATAGTAGGGATTTTTACCTTTATTGAATTGAATTTACTACAATAATTGAGAGGGACAAAATTACTCCCATGAAACATATGATCAAAATTAGCCATTGCAAGGACACTCATTTTTCTTCCTAACTGGCAAATCCATAATGTTCTCTTCAGTGACAGAGAAAAGTGATGAATTTGAATGACTGAAAGACATGCTTTATTAAGATTTCATCACAAACTGAAAGCTAGCATAGAAGCATAAAACAGCCTTTAATTTTGGGTTTTTTTTTTCCTAATTCTCCCAAGCTGAACTCTGTTCAAAATAATTTTCCTACTTCTGCACCTTTGCCCACACCATTCTTTCTTACTTGATACACATTTCCCTATTGCCCTTCCTCTCCTCTTTCTGGTTCCAGCTCTGTGACAGCTTTATATATCTCTTTAGCCCACAGTAATCACATTTCCTCCATAATCATTGCAGTTAATCTCCTTTTCATGGTAGCCTCAGTCTTACAGGAATTTGGTTCAGATTTAACTGCTCCTCCATAACATTTAAATAGTCTTTTAAAGTGTATTGATACATATATACCAACTCCAAAGGGAGTAGTATAATAATTGTTTGGTTTTATGGATGAGTCAATACAATATGCACCCTGAAGTGGATGCCAAACACATACTGCAGCACTTGGCCATCCTTTATGTGGCTTTTGTAACAGATACCTACACAGACATGCCAATTAACCACAATTGGAGGGTCAGTGTATTGCAGTAAATGTTGAACCACCTAAGTGTTATCTTCTCTTGTATGCTTAAGTCAGAGCTTTTAAGTCTCAGGGCCTTGCCTTCGGAATGCCTTAATAAATTGGCAGACTGACACATGTATACTTAATGACCTTTTCCTGAAGTCTCCTTTCAACTAATGAATGGGAAGTTAAATTAATAGTCATTCATGGGGGAAAGTTTGAAAATGAAGCAAGTAGAAAACCCAATAAAAGTGGGATTTATTAATAAATGTCTATGTATGTTGAAATGATTTGTGACTCTTATCAATGTGTGAGGAAAGCTTCCTCTTAACTGATACCTCTAATGAGTAAATGCAAAAGTAGTAGATCTGAATGACTTACTTCCATTGCTTGAATTCTTATTATTTATGCCACTGTTCTTGTAGCATATGAGGAATACATGAGAGATAGCATGGAGTGGTGGATAGAATGCCATAAGAGTCAGAAAGATGAGTTCAAATCTAGCCTGACACTTACTTGCTATGTAACTCTGGGCAAATTATTCAACTTCTCAGTGATTCAGATATCTCCTTAGGACTTATCTAATAAATTATAGGTTATAATCAGCATTAGTGGAGAGTATAAAGAGTACAAATTTTGTGGTTAAGAATAGCATATTCTATTTCTTCATATGATCCCTTTCTTGCTTTTCTCCATTAACTTCTTTGCATGCATTATTTAAGAAAACTATAAATAGATTTGGAATCATCCATATATTTATAAAATTTAATTATGGTATCTTCATAGGAAAGGGGTCACAGAAATTAAAGTCTTATTCATTTCTTAGCCTTTGTGAATTTCATAAAGATAAATATAGTTCTTACTGATAAAAAATTTAAATATTGAACCACACATGTGTAGTAACTTACATTTATACAATGCATTACAAAAGCTGAAAGACAAAACTTCACTATACTACCATTGATGAAGTTACTGATAATGGTGATCCTTGCAGTTACAAATACTTGGAAGTTATGTAATTTGAATTAGTATTTAATCAGTTATACTGTAAAAAACACATTTACCATTTATTAGTGATAAGTTGATTTTTTCAGTAAAATTTAATGATTATTTTCATTCTTACATCACTTATATTTCCCAATATTTGTCCCTTGCCTTACTCTAGAAATAATAAGACTTTGCAGGAGTTGGGGCAAATCTCACTGGTAAAATGTGGGAATGATAGCACCTACCTTACAGGGTTTTTGTGAGGAGCAAATGAAATAACATATGTAAAGTGCCCTATAACCTTAATGCATTATAAAAATGTTAGCTATTAAAGATGCATTTTCTTCAGTCTATGTTTTAACAGTTGAAATTGCATGTGAATCATGGGGCTTTGAAGCAAGGGGCTAGTTAATATCAGGAGCAGCCTTAGCAGCAAACCATCTTCTTGAAGATGACTAGCCTTAGAAAATTCTGACCCTCTGTTTTGCCTTGCAATGAAAAAACTGGGGACGTAGTGTATGCACGTAATATAAATTGTCTTCAAAATGGTTTTGGTTGCTTGATCTTTATTATATTTTCTTTGACTAATGAAAATAGGTAGTCACATGTTCAACCTGTGGATTTCCATATACATATACATGAGATTTTTGTCAGCATGGAGAACTCCAAGCATTGAAAGTCTCACCACAAAGTAAAATCATAACCTGAATATGACCTTAGTAGTTAAGCTAGCTATAGGCTTCTGCTTGAGATACATAGAAGTTGTGATTTGCCTAGGGTCATACAGCTTTACAGTATCAGACATTTGCTTGAATTCAGGTTTTCCTTATTTGAAGCCTAGTACTCCATCCACTTTGTTTACCTTTTAACCACTTTATATTATCTACTCCATAAATATTATTAAAAAGAAAGGTGGCTATTTTTCCCTCCCATTTTGCTGAAGAAGAAGTAAGGGAGACACAGAAGTGAAATCACTTTCTCAAGGTTATATGGTGGTTCAGTAGCAGTCCCAGAAATAGAAATCTTCCGATTTCAGCTTGGATGTCTAATGTCACAAGAAAATTTTAACATTTGTTTTAAAAAAGAGATTGGTTCTATTGTATTTGCAAACATTTGAGGGACTTTTATGGTCTCTACATTTTACATGACACCATCTTTTTTTATTTTAAAACCATATATATATATATATATATATGTATATACACACACACACACACACACACACACACACACACACACACTATTTTATTATTTTTTCCCAAAACTTTTTACTTGGGTACCATTGGCATAATATTCATTATATTTCTTTCTCTCTTTGCAAATCACTTGGATGACATGCTTCCATGTGGCAACAATGTAAATCCACACTTCTTCCAGGGGTCCTTTATTTATCAACCATTTGCTCATTATTTAGGCATTGCTTCTGATTTTTTCCCGCTGCTTACCTTGCTATGTCCCTGAAATATCCAGAGGCCAAGAGAGCACTTGCTGTGTCCTGGGGGAATTTTCTCTGTCCCTTGTTATATGTGTATTTGGATCAATTCACTATATGCTACCTTGGAAAGCAATTTTAGGCACCTTTTATTTTAAGCCACAGCCCTACATAAAGGAATAGGTGTTTTTCTCTTTGTACTGACTAGAGAACATTAGGAGAAAGTTTATAAGTAACCTGTTTTTGAGTGTATTAGAGAAAGTTGTTGTTCATTTTCTTTTCTTTCTTTCTTTTTTTTTTGAAACTTTACATCATTTAACCCTTCTCTATTTCCTTGTTCTAGGGAGCAGAAATGGTTTTGCTATGCTACCAAGAAATAATGTCATGGGGAAGACATTCAAATTGAAACTACCTTACAATCCACTCAATATGAATGCTTCCAATTTTTAGAAAAGAAAGGGATATGGAAAATGAGAGATTTCATTAGTATGCCATATACGTAAAGCATATTCCACAAAATGCCATATATCTAAAGCCATCAAAAAAATGAGGTATCTTTTCCCCTATTTTCCAGACTACTGATGCTTACCTTTTAAAGTGTCAAAGAGGGTTTTTACTTGTATATTTTTGATGGAAAACTTTCAGAAATATTCCATTCTTCTAGGCTTCTCTGTCATAGGAGGATTCTGAACTCCTTTTAACCTTTGCTTGATGACTCCAGGTCATTATTATGAACATGCTGTCCTGCTCTGGACTATAATACAGCAATGCCCTCAGGTCTGTTGAGCTATGTTGGGCTATTTGTCCCTACAGCAAATGGACTAAGATTGCCATGCTTTTTGAGATTTTGTATCTGGTTTTAGTAGTATTTTTTCTTTTGTTTGTTTTTTCTATACTCCTTCCTGTCATCCTTTCAGCTGTTACTACTTAGGGCTATCAAATGTGCTTTGTGCTCAACTAAGCTTGTTAAAATTGCATATGGAATAAGAGAAAAGACCCTCTGAGGGACTCTCTTACAAGTAAACAATGCAGGGAATTTGGTGGATGAATTTGGGGATGTGAACTTTGACTACTTAGCCCTTTTCAATAAATCTACTTTTGCCAGGTATGATAGTGCATGCTTGTAGTCCCCTCCTGCTATGAACACTGAAGCTGGTAGATTACTTGGATTCAGGAGCTCTGAAATCCAGTGAGCTATGCAGGTTGGGTGTCCACACAAAGTTTGACACAAATATGGGAAGGCCCTGGAGAAAAGGAGCCACCAGCCTGTCTAAGGAGGATGAAACTGCCCATGTCAAAATCAAAGCAGGTAAAAGCTTCTACGCCAATCAGTAGTGGAGTCAGGCCCATAAGTGACTGCTGTACT